GTCCACTCTCAGGGACCCTTCTTGGGAGCTGAATGGGTGAGAAAGCTGTGGGCAAGTACATGTAACTTCCATTGACTTCTGGCCCAAGGCAACCACTCACTGTCCCTGGGGGGATAAGGAAGAAACCTCTGTGTCTGCACTCCGAAAACCCAGGTTTACTATGCTGAACTATGGTCTGTGCAAACAGGGAGTACCAGCTCCCTGGTTCTGCTCTCCGTAGGGTCCTGGCTAATGCAGTCATCTTAGGGTAGCCACAGTCACTAAAATCAGTCCTCTAAAAGGTGCCGAGAGACCCGTGCAAACCAACCAACTGATCTCAAGGCAGCGCCATTTTCTGGGACTTGATGAAGTGTCTTTGTCCTTTAGACAAACTGTCAGCAGGGATGGCTAAAGACGATTTACAAATTCCCAGACCAAAGCTCAAGTCTTGTAAGACCATGGAGTTCATTGGGATGGTTCCTCCCCCCACCCCCTTACATTTTAAAAACAACCTGCTGTTGGGAAAGAGTGAAGGCAAAAGGAAAAGGGGCAGCAGAGGATGACATGGATAGATGTCATGGAAACAACGGACGTGAACTTGGACAGACTGCAAGAGATAATGGAGGACAGAAGGGCCTGGTGTGCTATTGTCCATGGGATCATGAAGAGTCAGACACGACTGAATGACTCACTAACAATTGAAATCTTTCATTTTTGTGTTACCTGTATTTCCTAATATATCCCTCTTCCTTCCCTTCCCCGAAAGCCATCTCTTGTGTAACCCCTATACACAGGTTGTTCTCATTATACTTACAACAAAGAATAAAAGGGGAACCCCCCCAAAAAAAAGAGTTCAGCAAAAATGAACCAGTGTATCACCGAAGTCCATTATTTTATGCAGTGTTCTCCAGTCATTGTCTCCTATCTCAATATTTGTAAAACAAAACAAAACACTTAAGCATAGTGCCTGGCACACAGCAGGCACTATATAAATGCTTATTCTCTTCTTGCTCCTTTCCTTGTCTCCCCTTCCTCTCCCTTCTCACCTCCCTCCCACCTCTACAAGGAAGGGCAGAGGTGAATTCTCTTTGCTCTACCTTGGGGCCAAGCTTGGCCATTATAGTTTCAGTTCCAAAGATTATGTTATTTTAGTCTACATTACTGTAGTTATTGTGTATAGTGTTTTCCTGGTTCTGCCAAACACTCTACATCATTCTTAGGAGATAAAAGGTACCTTAGAAACAGTCTTGTGTCACCCCCTCATTTTACAAATGAGAAAGTTGAGGCCCAGAGAGGTTAGATGAATTGCCCAAGGTTATACCGGTATCAAGTGGCAGAGCTGGGAATCAAAAATCCTTAGGTATCAAATGCAGCCTCCAGCCCATTGTGCTGACCTGCTAAGCATGATCCGTCCTTCTTTTCCTTTTCAGGTCTCAGTAGCTGTGGGTTGAAAAAAGCCCCACTCTTAGAACATAAGATCTTTGAGAGTAGGGATTGTTTCATTCTTTGTATCCCTAGAGCACACAGTAGGAACTTTGTGAATATGTGCTTGTTGGTTGACTGGGTGATGTAGATAATGGCAATAGTAACCTTGTAAGTGTTGTTGACCTTAAAAGACTATCGAAATGTGAGCTCTCAGTTGCCTTGCCATTGGGTAACAGGCTTGGCTGGGAGGAAGAGGACCCCTTCAGACCCTTTGGCTAGCCTAGTTACAAAGACTTTCATTCTTTGTTGCCAGTTCCCTCCCAGGGCCAGCGTTGATCCTACATCTCCTCTGGTAGAGATGTGGGGGCAGAAGCTGAACCGAGAACTTTCAAGGTCCTAGCAGTCAGCAGACCAGGCACTGAGAATAGGGTCGGGGTTTCCAGATAGAGTCATGTCCATTCCCATCTTCTGCCTCCTGCACTCTCAGGCTTTACCAAGTAGAGTCACCCCTTTGCTTCAGAAGGGCTCCCTCCAAGGACAGACAGCAAGTTCTGAGGGAGGAACCCTGAAAGCAAGCAGGGCGACTTTCACTTCCTTCTACTCTGCCCTTCTCGGGAAGCTGGCATTTCCCTCACCCACAGGCAACTTGACTGGGGCAGTAGACACTTGTTGATTGGTTTGGGGCAGAGGAGCAGTGATTATAAAATGGATGCTTCGCCAAAATTATTCTGGCAGGGGTGCACAGGTGGAATGGAAAGGGAGGGACTAAAAGTGGGAAGATTGCTTGGGAAGCTATTGCAGTGGTCCAGGTGTGATGTGATGGAGTCTGTACCAAGCTGATGGCCACGGAAATGAGGGCACCCCCAAAAAGACGTTTTGAGGATAGAACGATATCTGATTGGATGTTGAAAAGGTAACTGAAAGCCAAGTTAAGGGAGAGGATAAAAAAGGAACCCAGTAAATTCAAATAACTTGACCCAGAACACTATCTCAGGGTGCCAAAAAAAACCCCAAAACCCTTGGAAATGTGATTGCTGAACTGATGTCTGATCATTGGACATTGCAGCATAGTGGATGGGGAACTGATTTAGAATCAGGAAAACTTGAGTTTGAATCTCATCCTAATCACTTAGTCATCTCTGAGAATGTCACAGCCTCTCAGCCTCAGTTTTCTCATCTATCAAATGGGGAAAATAATAACATCTACCTGCAGGGTTATTTTGAATATCAATGAGATATGACATGCAAAATGCATCTCAAACTTTAAAACCTACATTTTGTTTTTGTTCAGTTGTGTCCAACTCTTCATGACCCCATTTGGGGTTTTCTTGGCAAAGATGCCTGATTGGTTTGCCATTTCCTTCTCCAACTCATTTTATAGATGAGGAAACTGAGGCCACTAGGGTGAAGTGACTTGCCCAGGGTCACACAGCTAGTAAGTGTCTGAGGCTGGATTTGAACATAGGAAGATGAGTCTTCCTCCCTCCAGCCCTGGCACTCTATCCACTGTGCCACCCAGCTGCCCTACATACACATCAGGTGTTTTGACCTATGAAAAAAACTGGACATGGATAAATGTTGTCCTGATTTTTAAAAAAAGAGAAGGTGGATTCTTCAAACTCCAGACCAATAAGATTGACTTTGTTTCCTGGCAAAATTCTAGAATTTATTATTAGGGAGTTAGGTGGTGAGTACAAAGGAAGAAAAAGAGGCAATTATGACAACTCGTTTGTTAAGAACAAGTAACGTCAGCAAAACGTCATCTGGTTTTTCGGGGACAGAATGACAACACAAATATAGGGGGAGAATGTCATAGATGCCGTGTACCAGATTTCACTAAGGCATTTGGCAGTTTCCAAGAAATTCACGTGGACAAGAGATTGGGACTCACTGACCCAGATTAGCAAGGAACAGATCCCTAGCAAACTCATGGGACCTGACTGTGGTCCTGTTCTGTTCAACATTTGTACTGACCACTCGGATGCAGGTAGAAATGATGTGGTTATCAAATTTGCAGATGACAAAACCTGCAGATCTGATGCTGGGGTGTGTGTGTGTGTGTGTATGACTAATATAAAGTATAGAAGAACAGGCTTAGTAATAGGAAGCCTGTGATAACGTGTATGTGATAACGTGAGGAGTGTGATGAAAACTGCCTGGTGGCAAGTATAACCTGGCAGCGAGTAGAATACACCCTCCTCTGCCCTCCCCAACCCAGGATTCCCAGACTCACTTGACATTTCAGAAACCATTCTTTATCTTAGCCTTTCCAGCTTGACAGAACCTTTCCTACTATTATGACTTTGACTTTCCCAGACACCCACCTCCTCCTCCCCTGCTACATTGCCATCATGGGAAACTTCTGCCTTGGGGCTCTCCTCTCCTTACTGGTGACTCTCACCCTGAGATCACCATTTAACACAGGACCCCCCCTTACTCCCGCTCCCACCCCCATAGCCCATCCATTCCCAGCACTGCTATATGTGTCTTTTCCCATTAGAATGTAAGGTCCTTGAGGGCAGGGACTATCTTGTTTACATGTATTTGTATCCGCAGCCCTTAGTACAGTGCCTGGTACATAGTATGTCCTTAAAAATGTGCTACCTATCTATCTATCTTTATATCTATTCATCTATCTGTCCAACTACCTATCTATGCATCCATCCATCTATGCCAGATCTTGTTTCAGTTTGCTGTGATGGTACATGGAGAAAGTTGGGGGAAAATGATTCTGTAAAGTTAAATGCTTTTTTTTTTTTTAGAAAATTGGGGTTAAGTGACTTGCCCAGGGTCACAGAGCTAGTAAGTGTCAAGTGTTTGGTCTGAGGTCGGATTTGAACTCAGGTCCTCCTGACTTCAGGGCCGGTGCTCTATCCACTGTGCCACCAAGCTGCCCCTGTAAAATTAAATTCTGAAGAATTAGAAAACTGGTAAACGGCCCAGAGGACAGATAATGAAACACGCCTACTCCTTCAGAGTAGTGAGGTGGGCTATTCCTAGGACAGACTATTATATACATTGTCAGACGAGGTTACTGTATCAGTGTTCTTGCTTATTTTTTTCATCGTCAAGAGGTAAGATCATCAACCTAGAGCTGGAAAAGACCTTAGAGGGCATTTAGTCCTACTCTCTGACTTTACAGATGAGGAAATTGAGGCCCAACGAGATTAGGTGACTTGCTCAAGGTACTTGTTGACTGTCCAGCTAGTGCCTAAGGCAGGATTTGCACCCATTTTTTCCTGCTTCTAGGTCCAGTGCTTGCATGATCTGCCTACTAGGTCATACCAACTTCCCTAAAAAGAAAAACTGGCAGCTGCTGGGGTATCCAGGCGGTCTTACAAGGCCAGGCCTGACCTTGCTTTGCTTCAGAGAGCAGACAAGGGCGGGGTTCATTCTAGGGAAGAGGATGAAATAACTAGGATGTAAAGACAGAAGGCACCAAGAGGGCATATTTAAATTAAAATAAAAAATACATAGATTTTGTGGGAAGACAAAAGGTTCCTGAAAGCTCGGGTGGTTCAGCCAGCCTTAAACAACCTTGGGGAATCGGAGCCTTCACTTGACCCACTGTTGAATAAGAGGAGGCCAAGCGAGGCGTTGGCAGATTCTCTCTCTTTTTATTTGACAAGAATTCTTCAGAAAATCCACACACACCAGAAAGATGCCTGTTATGCCCGCTGCTCTTCTGGTGACCAGGAGCCTCGTCTGGGCCGTGCTCTCCCGGCTTTGTCTCCTCAGCCCAATCCCCCTGGTATTAGGCTTCTGGCCCTTGGCCGCAGGGAGCAGTGAGTCCATTGACGATGACTGCCAGCTTAGGCAGCAGGGGAGGCCCCTGTGACCTTCGCTGGGGGATCTCTCTCCTGGACGTGCAGAGATGGTCTCACTTTAGATTTAGAGAACCAGGGGGGAGGGCACAAGGAAAGAAGGAAGTCCTTGTCCATCCTGGGACTGGAGGCCTGACTGGAGTAGGAGGGGAGGGAAGGGAAGAGCGTGTGTGAGTTTTAGATGGCCCTCTATACCTAGTCCTCACTCCTCCTTTTGGAGTCCTGGGGGCCCTCCCCAAGTCCATGCTCTTCTTTCTGTTCCCTGCTTCTCCCAAACTCCCTCAGCTCCCAGCCTAGATAACCGCATCTAGGACATCATCTAATCCAGCACCCTCATCTTACAGCAGAAGAAACTGAGGCTCAGAAGGCAAGTTCATAGCAGAACTGTGATGGAACCCAGGGTGTCTGACTTGAAGTCCTGTTTTTCCCCTGGCATAGAACTGTGCTTCAGAGGTAAAATGAGGGAGTAACCTTTGCCTTCCCATCATTCACCTTTCCATTGGCCCTACTTGGAGTAGAGACTGGGACAGAAGATGGTAGTTTGTGGTGGCCAGGGCTCCCTCCAGCTTTCTAGCCTAGGGAGGCAAGGTCCGCCCAGCTGCTTGGTGGCAGCTAAAGGCTCATGATACCGGATTCCCCACCTCCCTCCCCACCAATACAAATAAACCTTCACCTCTTTCCCTGGGATGATTCTTATTTAGGGGCTGAAATGAGGTATGGGGGTGGTGAGGGGTGGGAAAAAGGGGAAGATTGAGGGGAGAACAGTGAGATATACCAGTGACATCTTGGCAGGACGCCCACTTGTAATTTTTGCATGGCTGGTGGCCATTGTATCATGGATACAATACCTACCATAGTGGGTAGGGGAACAGGGCATGAGGCCAGACAAGGGGTCTGATTATCTCTGTGCTTCCTGTCCCCTAAAGCCCTCTTTCTTCCTGGCGTCTACTTCCCCTGTCAAGGCTGGAGCAGCTATTATGGTATGATCCTGGGTATACCTGCCCCACGCTCTGACAGAAGGATTCTAGATCCCACACCCAGATGAGAAGCACCGGGTGGGGTGGGGGGAAATCCCAAGTTGTTGAGGGTGGAGGTGTACAGTGGAGGTCATGCCAGGCTAGTCGCCAGGCCCCTAGGAGGGGTTACTGAGGTTGCCCTTTGTGACGGCTCGAGCAGCCTGCTCAGGGACACTGGCGGGGTCGGTCAGGATGCAGGTAGAGGTGCTCAGCTGGCGGAGGGAGCTCAGGACCGCTGGTAAGAGAGGGAGACAGCCACCCATGAGATCATTTGTGCCCATCTTGCCTGTGGGGGTGGGAGGATGAGTAGGGCTGGGTGTGGAGGGTGGAAAGAGGGTGGTTCTGGGTCATTGGTTTGTGTCAGAAGTAGGAGGGCATGGGATTTCTTAAGACCAAGGGTCTCGAGTCCTGGAATCTTGCCCTCCACCATACCCCTTTTACCTCACTGATAGGGTAAAGGACCATGATAGATGGAGGGTTATGAAAGAGTGTGGTAGGTGGGATGAAGGGAGTGGACGTGGGGAGGAAGGAAGGCTGACTGGCTGGCTGGCTGGCTGGCTGGCTGGCTGGCGGTGGTAGAGGGGGATGACATACTAGGGCGCAGGGCAGGCAGAGAACAGTACTGGTCCAGCCAGGCCAGTGAAGTCTGGCGTAAGCTGTGTAGACTTGCTGTGGACACCATCCCGTTGAAGGACTCAAATAAAGGCCGGATAAGGATGCTGAACTGGCAGCCCAGTGGGTCAAGGAAGATGCATCCTGGACAGGATTCCCTCTCTGTCTCTTTCCCCTCCAGCCTACGTGTAAGCTAACAGACCCAGAATCTCGGGTCTTCCTGTTCCTAGGCCTCTTAACCAGCTCTCTCCCCTGTGATCCTGTCCCATTATTAGGACCCACAGTCAAGGGTCCCCCAAGGACTCTCCCTGAAGAGAAATAGACAGGAAAGGGGGCCTCCCTCCCTGCATTCGGTAAGCTCCATGACAGCAGGGATTTGTCATTTTGTTCATAGTGCCTGGCACATAGTAAGTGCTTAATAAATGCTTGCATAATTGAATTGAATTACAGCTAAGTTTACAGATGTTCATCATAGCGCATATTTTATAGTGCTTTAAGGCTTATAATAATACTAACAATAGATAAAATTTATATGGTGTTTTAAGGTTTGCAAAACACTTGGCATTTGAAATATGAAATAATGATGATGGGGAATGGGAGGGGACAGACTAACAGGTGTTAAATCAGAATGCAAAAAGTAGGGTGGAGAAAGAGACACCGACCAACCAGGGCATCCGTTTCTATCATATCTTTGGGGGCCCAGGCTTAGGAGGAGAGGGTGGTGCATGAGGATGGGGGGGCCTTATTCCACATTCCTTTTTGTATCAAAGGCAGTTAGGGAACATAGGGAAGAGGGTGATGCCCTTGAGAATCAGGAAGACCTGAGTTTGAATTCTGCCTCAGACACTCAGCAGATGTGTGACCCTGGACAAATCACTTAATCTTTGTCTGCTTCAATTTCCTCATCTGTAAAATGGGGATGATAGTAGCATCTACCTCCCAGGGTTTTGTGAAGACTAAATGAGATAACATAGAGGGTGACCCAAAAATCTTAGAATAGTTTTAGGCTAAACTGCATTAAGATTTTTGAGTCACCCTGTATGTTAAATGCTTAATAAACCTTACAGCATTACATAAGTACTAGCTATTTTTATTAGTCCCAGTACCTGGCGTGTAGTAATTATTTGAGTCAACTAAGTCAACATACATCTACCAAACACCTAATATGTGTCAGGTATTGTCCTAAGCAATGGAATAATTAATAAATAACTTAATAGATTAGGGGCAGAGTTAGGCTTCAAGTGACGCTGAAGGGTCAATGCCACCAAGAATGCCTGAGCCCCATGCCCCTCTACATGCTTCTACACAGGCCCTTGGATGAAGCCATCAGTTTGGACCAGTAATGACCAAGCATTCCTCCCCTCCATGTCCCGGAGGCTGGCTGTGGGTCACTTCCCTAGAGCCCTCTGGACGATGTGTTCTTTCTGCTTAGAGAAGGATACAACCCAGAATTTCCAGTTGTGCAGGGTACGAGCCCGGACATAGTCATCAAACATATCCCTCATCTGGTCGAAGCGCTGGTGAGTGATGGGCACGCCCGTGGCAGGCAGCTGCTGTTGGCAGAGGCTGCAGGCCCCGAGGGGAGAGACAGGGTTAGGGCAGCACCCTGGGGCATCTGGCTGGGCATAGGGGCAACTTCATGACCTACCCCATCCTTCCCAGCTTCCCTCCCCACCCCGGCCAATGAGTTGCCAGTCTCCCTACTTGATGGCGGTGTTGAGCTCCTCGATCTGGTCCCGCAGGTGCTGGGCCTCTTCCTGCATGGCCGCCCGCTCCTGCTGCAGCATCACAATGTATTCTGCTGTCTTCTGCAGAGTTGTGGCCTTGCTCACCTGGGGGGTGGGGCCAGAGGAACAGGCAATCGGGGTAACTCTTAGGAGCATGGGGAATCCTGGGGGAGGAGGCTCACCTCTTCTCATTGCAATAAAATAAACATTTATTAAGCACATCTTGTGTGCAAGGTACTATGCTGGCATTGGGCATACAAAAATTGAAGATGACCATCTCTGCCTTCATGGAATTTTTCAATGGTTGACCTGGGGGAAGTGTTATGTATACAACTATGATTCCAATTAGAAATTT